TTTGGACCCTGGGACTTGCACCAGCAGCCTCCTGGGAGCTCTCAGGCCTTTGGCCTTGGACTGAGAAATACGCCATCGGCTTCATGGGTTCTGAGGCTTTTAGGCTTGGGCTGAGCCATCTTCCCAGCATGCCATGGTCTCCAGCTTGGAGACGGCCTATCATGGGACTTCTTGGCCTTCATAACTGTGTGAGCCAACTTCCCTAACAAATCTAATATGTATGCTATTAGTTCTGTGTCTCTGGAGAGTGCTGACTAATACACTAACAAGCTAACAGAATGAGAATTTAAATGGTAAAACTACTTATTTAATCTAACAAAAAGGGCAAGAAAGAGAAAAAACAAAGAACATAAGGAGCAAATAAATAACAAATAGTAAGTTGGTAAGTTTAAAACTAAACACCATTAATTACATTAAATATAATTGGATTAAATGCTCCAATTAGAAAACAAAGAATTTTAGACTGTATATATACGAAAAAATAATGATATGCTGATTACGAACTAAACATATTAAATATAATTACACAGAAAAGTTAAAAGTAACAGGGTGAAAGAAGACACAGTACACAAACATAAACAAAAAGCTAGCCAGTATAGGCATAGCTATACAAATACTAGCTAAGGTTTACAGTAAAGCAAGAAGTATTCCTAGGGATTGAAAAAAAAAGCGTTTCTAGTTTTACAAGAGATAATTCACAAGGAATATATGAAACTTCTATAATTATATACTGAGAGTTTCCAGTTTTCACAGTTCCCATATGCACGAATATCAGTTATAACAATTTAGTTAACTAAAACCAGTCTCCCAACAATATGATTCAAATTTCAGTTTGCACAATATTTTAATTGTAACTGTATGAAGTCCAAACTTCACTGCTAGCCCTTCAGTCTACACATCACCATGTAAATAATAAATGCGAATCATGATTGGTGATCAATCACATCACTTTTTTCAAAATCTGTCACTGATTGGTCACTGGGTATCTGTTATCTGGGTGACACAGAGACTAAAATGGATATAGTTTTTCTGTGCTGCCTTTTTGTCTCCCAGTGATTTACTCACGTGATATTTTACAAAACTGGATAACCAAAAGAGGAAATTGGCCAACAAAGATTATAATGTAGCAGATAAATGAAAAATGATAATGCTGGGAAGTAAAATTTGACTCAAAGATAAATGGAGTTATAGGAAAAGTAGCTGACTCTGGGAATATTGATGCTGCCTTTCAAAAAACTCTAGCTATGCAGCTACAGAAACTTAGTGAAGGTGAAATTACCAACATAAATGAGGAAAGTAGTTGTGACAGAAAAGATTAAAACATCCCAGAGGAAGGTATGTCAAGAAAAAAATTATGTTAAAAGAACTCTCAGAGATATTTCATAACATTGAACGTGCAAAGAATGAACTGTTAGAAGCTGATCCAAATTTTGCAAGGAATATGATAATTTACCAATGCACAGAAAAACTGATTGCTTTGCAATATCAGTCATAAGACAAGGAAAAGAGAGGCAACGTTTAAACTACTCTTGGTAACGTGTTGTTTTTTGTTTTGCATAAACTTAAATGTTTGAATTCTCTGTGTTTCTAATGTTTCAAATTATAGTGAAATAAATACTAGTTTTACTATTTTTTTCATTTCCCTACATGTGTAGAATTAAAAATAAAGAGCAGTTAATGTTGCAAGAAAAAATTTTAGAGGTCACGAAACAATTGTGATTTTTCCCGTTGATTATTAAGTTTGGTTTGCATAGTTTCAGCTGGCACAGTCACTGTGTGATCCCGCGCTATCATGCAAAGTGAGAGTCGCCTGCATATTTAACAATACAGCCTCAAAACGTATAAATCAAAAAATGACAAAACTAAAGGAGAAACAGAAAACCTAAGATTACGGTGAAAGACTTTAACACATCTCTCTCATTAACTGATGGAAACAGTATACAAAATATCGGGAAAAAGGTATCTACACACAATATATGTGACATAGGAAATTCCAAAAACATGATGGACAAACTTGACTTATTTTAATTATATAGACTGTCGTAGCCAACAATTGCAGACTACACATTCCTTTCAAAGTACAGGTAATATTTCTTAATATTGGCCATATGCTGGTTCATAATTTAAGACTCAACAATTGTCAAAGAGTTGCAATGCAGAATATACTTTTGACCACAGAAGAATCTAGCTATAAGTAAAAAAAAAAATTTTAATGTAACCAAAAATCCACAAATGTTTTCAAGTTAAGCATCACACTTATAAATAACTCAAGAGTAAAAAAGAAAATCATGATGAAAGTTAGAAAATAGTTTTGAAATGAATGATGAGAGAAATAAGACGTAAACTAAAAATCAGTTATCTAAGTATCACCC